AGCTTCTTCCTGGATGTTTCAAAATTAGATGATGTGAACTCAAAGTTTCTGTGCTCATGTGTTTGTTTAGTGTAAAGCAGGAAGCCTGGGAGACAGGGGAAAAATCACTTTTGTTGCATAGTAAGCACTTTGACCAGCTTGCTTCCTGGCTTGTTCTTTTTCTACACTCAGGAAAAGAAGAGAAGGAGAAATGAAGAAGAAGAAGAAACACCAGAAAAACGCCAGAAGGCCCCAAGCCCTGCCAGCCTGGAAGAGGAGGAGCTGTGCTCTGACCACACTGCAGTGTGTTCCACAAAGGTTTGTGTTCCTGGGGCCCCTCTGGAGGTGATGGCAGCTATTGCAATAGAGCACCTAACCAAAGATGAGGAAAGATGACCCAGAGCTTGCGGTAACATAGGGTGTGAATCCTGTTATCCCACTCCTGCTACAGCCTGGGACAAATCACTTGATCTGTTTCCTTCATCTTCCTTGGTTGTCAGTCTCCTCTCCTCCTGCTTTGCCTGCTTGAGCTGTTGGAGACTGTAACCATTTCTGTCTGTGTATACTTTGCCAATCACCGTAAATGTCTAAAGTTCATTGAGGACTCCAGGGAGTATTGTAATACTGAGAAATATGTCTGTGCCTTAAGCCTGTGAATTTGGTCAAAGATGACACATAAACTTAATCAGAAAATGAAATTTCCCTTCTCCCCAAAAACTTGAAGCACTGGAATTTGCCTGTCTTTCTTAGAATAAATCAGAAAGCATGACTTAAGGTTTTAAACTGCGATTCCTGATCTCTGAAGCATCATGTCCTTCCCAGTCACATCTGTCTGCATTGATGCTCTTGCGAAACTTCCATTTTTAACACCACCTGAATTGCATCTCATGACTTCTGTTGCATTTGTCACAAATCCTCAGTTCTGTGCATGTGCTTTTAAATACAATAGCTACAGATAAGTGGTTTCTGTAGCCAATGGCTTTTATGTCTTTGTAAGCCCTAAGCTGTTGATTATAGCTGTGAGGGAAGTGGTGAGGAGCCTAGGTAGCCTGTTAATCTGCTGTTGGTATTATCTTTGCTTTTTTGCATTTATATCTGTGCTATTTGCTTCTTAGCCAACATTTCCTGGACAGGGAGGATTGTACGAGCACTTCCTTTTGCACCGGTAAATAGATAGTAAAAAGAAGGTTTCACCATCTACAGCCATCAGATTCTTGCTCTTTATGGAGGATTTCATCATCTACAGCCATCAGATTCTTGCTCTTTATGGAGAAGCCTTTTAAAAATCAAATAGAGCAGGGGAAAAAGGGTGGGTTTGGATGCAGGCCATGTGCTAATGTTAGGTTTGAAAAGTGGGGTGGGGGTAGCCAAAGCATATCCCCTGAGTGGGACCAGAGGGGAAATGTGGGGAACACTTCCAGTGCCTTTTATGTGCTGAAATTCTCATCATTACAACCCCAAAACACACATAGCTTCCTGACCTGAGCCTAACTGCTGCTGTTAGGATTAGCCCAGGGAAAGGTTAGAAATATAGTCTTTGTGTTTTATAACGGTGATGTCAGAGCTCACCAATACACAAAGCTGAATGTAAAGCTTGTCAGGAAAAATATGAGCTTGGGATCTTTCCAAAGGAAGGAGGCTCTTTACACCCCAGCTAGCAGGGCTTTATGTGAACGCTAAGAATTAAACACATTGACCACCAAGAAGGTGTTTTGGTACAGGATCGCTCAGCAGAACTACTGCTTGCAGTGGAAAGATGAGAGCATCTGCAGTGGGTGGTGAGCTCCCCTGCCAGCTGTGGCTGGTGGAGGCCAGGTACACCTCTGGGGCAGGCAGATGTTGGGGTGCAGTGTGATGGGGTGTTTGGCGTTCAGAGGGCCAGTGTGGCCTGGGGGCTGAAATGGATGTGTGGTGGCAGGGGGGAAGCCTTATACCAGCCCTGTTTTTGTCCCAGGCTACTTCTGAGCTCTGAGTTTTGGAGTGAGCAACTGTGGTTTCTTCTGGCCTTTAGAAAGCGCTTTGGACCAGAGAAATGCACAACTCTCGCTGCAAGGAATTGCCCTACTGGGCAGAAGGAGGTGGTTTCCAAATAGCTTCGGAAAAGTTTGTTCCCACCTAGACTGTCATGCTGAGATCTACTGTCACCTACAACCTGTTTCTAGGCCCCTCTGTGTTTAACTTGATGTTCATTTATGACCTTTTGGAAGCACCTGTGGGTGGTCTGCACCTGCATAGCATCTCTCTGGCAGGGTTGGCAAGGTTTTTTTCCTGTTGGTATCTTATCTACTTGTGGTTGAGAAGCTGAGACGTGGGCAGGGATCTACCTGATCCCCCTTTCAGGTGCTGTGATGCCCCATGAGGTGCCAGCCTGCCCATCAATGTCCCAGAGGGATGGGCAATCCAATCTCTGAAGTCACGGCTCAGGCAAGCACCAATTCCTCCAGCACCAAGCAAAGGAGCAAGCTGGCAGCAGGCAGACAGGCTGCCCAGCAGAAACTGCTGGCTGGAGGGATATCTGTCATGCTGCTGTGTTGGGACACCACAGAGTGACTCTCCCTAGCGCATCTCTGTTAGCCAGGGTTGCACTGTTTGTTGGTAGTTGTGCTCTTCTCTAATGGGCCTTGTGCTCTTGGGCACAGCTATTAAACGTGTCCTCTCTGTGATGCTGTCTTGTCTTCTGCTTAGCTGAAATTTAGCATCAGCATCCTGAAAGTGTCTTAAAATAAGCACTTAGCACTGCTTTTTATCTTGGTAGGTGATGCTTCTCATGGCACAGGCAGCAGTATACAGGGAGAGAAGACTCCTTGTTACATGGTTGCTGCTTCTTCGCTCTGCAGAAGCTGCAGTTAAGAAACAGCCTCCCCTTTGACTTGAAAGTGATTTTCTCTCTGTGTGTGTTTTCTGGAGCACAGAAGAGCTGTCAGGTTTAGCAACATTTCACCTTTCCTTTATTCAGTGGTTGTGAAGTGTTTGCTTGCCTTCCTGTCTTGGCCAAAGAGTTCTTGCACAGGAGCCTCTTGTGCAAAATTCTTTCCTGATGGCTTTGACCTGAAGCGCTGCCTTGCAGATGGCTCCATGTGTTGACCTGCCCTGTCCGTGTGCTTCGCTGGTGTGGATAAGCCATGATGTAACTCAAGCCTGCGCTCCTCTCATGCTTCGCTTCTCTTCTGCAGATGTGGCTGGCAATGCCCCTAGTTTTCCCCCTTGTCTTTCCACACTTGTCACTTTTTCTTGTGCCTGGCTAGGAAACCAAGTGTCTGAGAGAGATACCTGGTCCTTGAGCGGGGAAAATGATTTTGGTTGCTGTTTCAGCTGTCAGTCAAGCTGCACATTGTTGGTTTGCCCCTGAAACTGCTGGGCTGCTACTGTGCACTGGTGCTTTTGGCTGGGATTCTGCTCACCTGCCTTGGAAGGGAGAAGGGAAAGGGGTGCTTCCTACTGTGGGAACATGGGACTGAGTGAGGCATTTCTAGCCAAAATCTGGGTGAGGGAGCAAGGAAGAGAAATGTCTGAACTATCGTCGGCCAAGGTGACCTACATCCATCTGAGGTCCATGGAGAAAAGTAATATCTTTGTATTCTCTCTCCCACTTTAGATCACGGACAAAGAAAAGGTATCTGTAGGGTTTACCTTGAGATAAAGCAGGTCCCTTCCTCCAAATGGAGGGTGCCAGGGGGCCATGATGTGGATATGGGCAGGAGTGACAGGCTGCCTGTTGCCCTCAAAGTCTTTCTTTCTGTCTGAGGTACTGGGGCATCACCTTAATCCTCTTCTTGCTTCTCCAGTAACAGCATAAAGAAGACCCAGCCTCCTCTCCCTGTGTCGAAGATCGATGACAGGCTAGAGCAGTACACGCAGGCTATTGAGGTGGGCTGCTGTGTCATCGCTCTGTCCCCATCCTCCAAGGAGCCCTCTTTGCCAGGCATTGCTCTCCCACCATGCCTCTTAGTCTCACCATCTGGGAGGTGACAACTGAATCATCTCCCCTTAGATGGGAGCAGCCCTTTCTCCTGTCTTTATCTCCCTTCACAGCATAAAGTAGGTTTCTATAGCAAGCTGTCCCATCCTTGTTTCCTCACGTTCCTTGCTTAAAGGGTGGGAGCATCCGGCAGGAACTAGCAAGACCCTACAAGTCTCCTTTTATAAACCCTCATCCCTGAGGACCTCCAATTACAGGGTGGGGAAAAAAAAAAAAGCACACTCTGCCTGACAGTGATCTTTCTCCATTTATTTTCCAGACATCCACAAAGGCTCCAAAACCTGTCCGACAGCCCTCTCTCGACCTTCCCACCACGAGCATGACTGTAGCCAGCACAAAAAGCCTCTGGGAGACTGGAGAAGTTGCAGCTCAGTCTGCCATGAAGTCCTTGCCCTGTAAGGTATGGCATTCGGAGGACTTCCCTTGCTTGTGCAGGGGAAGAGGGTCTGGCCTTCTGGCACAACTTGCGTTACACTTGCGTTAGCCTGTTGGTATGGCTCACCAGTGGTGCCCACCAGCTCTAAAGGCATCTATATTAGAGATGCAATCTCCTTCATCAGCATACAAGGCCTTGTACCTCAGAGCTTTCCTTCATCTGTGCTAGGGTCCTGAATCGTTCCTTGGTGGTACAGCTAGGAAAGCCTCTGTGATGCTTGTTGAGGCTCTGCTTTGAAATGGAAATAAATTCAGCTGGTGTGGAAAATGTGTATGTCTTCTGCAGGGGCTAGGACTGAGCTCCAGTTGTTGAGCACAAACTTGGATCTAGTACCAAGATAAATCTTGTAAAATTGGAAAATGCAGAGAGTATTATGTATTGCTCTCAATTTCACTTTCTAGTCATTGTGAGTGAGGCTGATTCTGTAACACATGGTTTGCAAATCTGTGTTTATATGAGCAAAATTCCTTCCATACAAAAAGCGCCTTGATGTTAACATGTCTTAAATAGTTAACAAACTTAAGAAAATAAACATCTTGGATCTCTGATCCAGACTCTTGTTGAAGAGAATGAGAGAGGAAAACATAGGACATACTGGGAATAGGAAGAAGTTTTCACAGTCACGGGTTTTAGCTGCAGGTGTCATAGGTCAGATGATGTGATATTATAAATAAAAAAGGAGGTCAGATGTGTGGGTTTGAAAGGGACGTGAACAAAGGCATGTTCAGCAGCATTAGCACTGAAGGGTAACGAGAACATCATCTTCTCAGGATATTGTGGCTGGAGACATCGTGAGTAAAAGAAGCCTTTGGGAACAGAAGGGCAATCCCAAACCCGAGACCAACATCAAGGTGAGTTACTATCTGTGTGAGTTTGAAAGCACTTGCTTTGCTGTGAAAAAGAAAAGAGCTCTTAGCTGGGTTGGAAGTATTGAGAAGGTGGTGATGTTCCATAAGGACAAGGGCTGCCTGTATCTAGCAATGCAATTGCACACCTAACAGCTCTTCCTAACAGTGAGCTGCTATCGCTTCAGCCCTAGTAAAAATGGGGGCAAAAATCATTTTATAAGCAGTAATACTGAAGGGTCTCTTGAATTATGTGTTGTTCTCAGGCCGTGGGTTGGGAGGCCCAGCCTACTGGGCTAAAATTGAACTGCAAATGTGAGTTACTTTGCTCTTGTTATGCTTTTTAATCTTGAGAGTAAAGAAAACATGCAAAATTAAGTGGAACTTAACCTAAGACAGTATCAACACTTGGGGTTTTGTGCCTACTGGTATATTTGTGTGAATGCCTATCAAAACGTAGCAAGCAGCTGCTGCTTGAACTGTCCAGGCTGGGAGAGGAAGATCAAAGTATCTTGTCTGTTCCCGCATCGGTCGGGCTGCCAGTATGTGGTAAATGAAACTGGCTCTTGCCATGGGTGAAACCAACCCTGGCTTGGGGGGCTGGGGCTCTTAGATGAGCTCTTCCTTGCAATGCCTGGAGTTGCATCTTCCCTTTCCTATTGCACATCTGTGCTTGCTCTGTTACCTTATGCTTATAGAAAGTGGTGGTCAGTCTGCACAAAGAGTTTGTGTGGAAGGAGCAAGAAGGGAGTACAGAGCAGGCTATCTCCAAGCCCTCTGGGATTACAGACAACCATATCGTGTGCTCCTCTGGCTTCAGTTATTTGATCTTGACTGCCTATTTGAGGGAGAAAAATGCTGACTTTGGCTCTTTTTCTCTCCTGTTCAGTCCACTCCTTCTGGCAAAAAGTATAAATTTGTTGCAACAGGCCATGGCCAATACAAGAAGGTGTTGATAGATGATGCTGCAGAGCAATAGCGTGCCTGGAGAACTCATTAACCAGGTAGGTGGGGTATGACCTTGCGCTGTGTAGCAAACGCCTGGCGCTGTTCTGGCGGGACGCTGGGGTTATTTCTGCCAGCTACACTTTGGGTGAGTTGGAAGGTACTGTACGGTGACAGCAGGAGCCTTGCTTCTGTGCAAATGTCTGACTTTCTGAGCTGGAAGGGTACACAGTGGGGGTTTGTTTTGGTCTTTGACTTTCTGATACCGCTAGGAAGCTAGATACCTGTGTTTAGTTTAATCTGCAGAATAGGTCCCTTAGCTACTGCTGTTTAGGTGAAGATGTGCTTGCCTTTGCTCGTTCAAAGGAACAGTCTATCTGCTGTTTTTTCTTATGCTCTCTTATGTTACAAGGAGAAGTAGATAGCTGGAGGTGATTCTGGCTGAGCATGGGGGCTGATGTACTCCCAACATTCAGATGCTCCTGGGGTCTAATTTCCCGATGTACTGAATTAATCAGGGGAAAACTTTTAATGATTTCAGTAACCTCTTGGAACCAGTCTGTAAGAGGGTTGTAGTGGGGAGGACATGAGCATCTGCTGTGCTGGGTGGACCAGCAGAGCAGAAAGGACCGTCCTCTGACGTGTAGCAAAGGGGAAGGCAGAGCTGGGTTGCTGTCTGTGCCCTCTTGAAATGGTCTTTGGATCTCATGCTCATGTTGTGCTCATGTTGTGTTCATGTTAATAGATATCCTGGTGTTACCTTGAGTGGATGATAGTAGAGGATTGTGGCAATAAGGAGGAATGGCGTAGAGGGAGGCGATAACTGGTTGGATCCGACTGGGCAGCATCTGGCACTGTGAAAGGAGAGGAAGTTGTTGGGGGTGAAAACAAGCTCATTCTCTTTTTTCCCTACTATAAAAAGAAGCTTTATTTCATAGCCAAGCTTATAAATAGCTCTGTCTGCTACAAAACACCTTTTGTTTCTGAATTCTTCTGGGGACTGTGTTCCTTTTTTTTTTTTTCTCCCTCAAGGAGCTGGCTTCCGAGTGCAGCATATTGTTTTGTTTGGGTGGTTTTCTTCCTTTTGTGGTGCCCGTTTAGAAGAGAAGCTCTCTTGAATGCCACTTTGAGATGGGCAGCAGTACAAACTCAAGCCTGCCCAAAGCTATGTTTTCAGATGTAAAGAAGGAGGAGCCCGTGGGACTTGTATCCTGAACTTGCTTCTCTGCCTGTGTCTTTCAGAAACCTATTTTAAGGTCTCCTCTTTGATCAATCCTCTTCCTTTTCCTGAAGTCTGTTTTGATGCACCAGGTGGGATACTACTGAGCTTCAATTCTTTATATCAAACAGGTTTTGCTAGGCTGGCAGGAGGTTTTGTTTGCTCTACCTGAGCTTCTGCAAGCAGCTCAAAGGGGAAAGTGCCCTCAGCTCTGATCTTTTTCCAGCATCCTTTCTTGAAAGGCCAATGCCTGTCACGGGATGTCCTCTATGATCCACTCAGTACTCCAAACAACCACTGCACAGCACTGTTGCCCTATGGGCTCATTCACAAGGAAAGTTTTTTTGACTGTGAATAGCAAAATGACTGTGACAGCTTGGAGGATCTTGGCTTGTTTCTGTTCTTGGGTTTTTAGCTGGCTGTTTTATGTGCTGAGAGGTCCCTTCTCCCCAGCTCCTCTCCACCCCTCTGAGCTATGTTCATCCTTTTTCCCTGCTGCCGGATCCCTTCACAGTTGCCTTTTTGCTCCCAAACTGTTCTGGCTCAACCCTGTGTCACTCGCTCAACACCACCTTATCAGCTTTCTAGTTACCTGAGCACAGGTAGAGTTTTTCCTCCTCCCCTCCCTTCCTGAGCTGCAGGACCCTGGAGCAAGAGGTTTTCTGTAAGTGGCAATTTGGGCTCTTACCAACTGCCTGAGGCTGTTTGACATTGAAAACCAACCAAACTCTGTGTCCAGCGGCATCCCCCTTCCCTCGCTCAGCACGGTGGCTCAAGCTGGGACATGCTGCAATGGCTGCCAATGCAGAACCGCTGGTGGAAATCTTCTCTTGCCTCCAGGCATCTGTTCTCTCTTCTGAAATGCTCTTGTGCCAGGGTCTGTCTCTGCAGGACTCGCCATGCCTGCTGTATGCTTCTGCCCTTCACTCCTAGGGCAGAAGGGTTAAACCATGCAGCCAGACCTGCCTTCCTCTGCTTCCCTCTATGGGCATTGCTCTCCCCACTGGCAATTCTCCATCTTCCACCCCTGTGCAGTGGGGCTGGGTTGTGGATGCAGCCTGGCAGGAAGCCCAGCAGATGAAAGACACAAGCCTTTCCTCATTGCCGTGTGTGAGAGTCACTGGTTTCTTCTGGGTTGTCCTTACTGTGGGGCAAAGTGGATTCAAGCACAATCGCTTCTGAAACCATCTTCTCTGGCCAGATTCACTTAGTCTCCCAAGTGTAATCAATATCGGCTGTTCTGCTTCACACTAATGCTGTGGATCTTGTGAATGCAGACTCTTGTGCATAGGCATCCAACTATCTGTGCTATAGTAAGATGCCATTTTAGTGCTGTGTGTTAAGGTCATCTTTATCTGCATTAGGCATTCTACATGTTTTAAACTGCACTCTTTTTGATTTTGTGTTGCTGTGTGGATCTTTATAGCCTTCCCTTGTAGCATGTTGAATTATCCTGCAAAGGCTTTCCTAGGATCCACTCGTGCATTTCCAACCTACTTCTTTTTAGCTTTTTCCTGGAAAACTGGGGGGTCAGAGAAACCCAAACTTTAGATACTTGGGTTATTCTTCCTTCTGATTTTTTTCCTTGAATAGGGAAGGGGTTGCAAAACAGATAAGACCAGCAAAGTGAAAACTTCAGTGATGGTTTGATTATAACTGAGCTCTTCTGATAGCATCGTTGCAAAATTGGAAGACTTTAAAAAGGCAAAAGGGGCTCTTGGTTTTGTTTCTAAGTCTGTTTGCAGTTTGGCTTGGGGAAATTTTGGTCGGCTCCATATCCTCTGCACACGAAGAGAATGTAAAGAGCTGTGTATCGAGTTTCCTATTTGGACTAAACATAGCAATCCTATATTAGCTGTGTAGGAATATCCCAGCATATGACAAAGTCCCCTGAGAAACAGAAATAGCTGATCTCCAGCTTTCATCCTCCTAAGCCTGGTGGTGATGGAGGTGCAAAGGGTGACTGTAATGCTGGAAAGCAGTTGTCTCTGGATGGATGTGTTTTAAATACCCTTTTTTCAGGACATCAGACACCAGTAGATATGCAACTATTATGATGTTGGCTCTGAAAGTGAGACTACATGTGGTTAGCAGGAAGCTCCAGAAAACAGCACCTTGTTAAATACACAGAGTTAGATACCCACATGCCAAAGCAGGCTTTTGCTGGTTATCATGAAAACATTAACCCCCAGATGTACTTAAAGCACTGTAAAATACATAATGGAACTTGATTACTGCAACAAAGTTAGTCTTCTGTGTGCTATGATTTAGTAGGCTGACCTAGAAGGACATCAGATGATGATGTCCAGTCTTCTAGGCAGGGGAACTGCTATGTGAGTGCAGGATGGATATCTTATGCTGTCCCTTGCCTGTGCCTTGGGTGAAAGCATGAGTTTCCACCTTGTTCTCAGTGAACGGGTGTGAGGTGCCCTCCACAGCACTTTCAGTGGAGAAGCTAGAGAGATGATGTATACCCTCTGTGAGTTCAATTTCTAAGAATCCCTAGAGAAGATGTGGAAGAACCCAGATTCCTTCATGTTGTCTCATCTACCACTGCTTTTATTTCTAGGATTTCTGTTGGTCTTAAACACAATGAAATAAATTCAGATTCCATTATCCTCCTCTTAAACTGAGCTTTTTCTACAGGCAATTTGTCCTCTTCACTGTGTGCCTCCCCCCCTCTTCCTCATATTACTGCATACAGTGCTTGTTGTTGGCTCTTTTTAAAACAAGTGCATGTTTGTTTTCCTGGCTCACGACCTGTGGATGTGGTATGTTATGCATTTAAGCTTATATACATATAGAGAGTAACCCTTAAACCCACAGCATGAGGCTGCTGGCTTGGAGGGGTTTTATTTCACTTTATTTTTTTCCTTACACTTGGCTCTGCTGGGCAGTAAACCTAGCTATAGGTGCTCTCTTGGTTGGTGCTCTATAGGAACCTCCAGAGATGTAGGCCTGGTGGAGCAGCCTGACTTCAGCTGACTGACCATCCTGATGCCATTCTGTTAAAGCTCTTGGTGTGCTCCTCAGCTGCTTTGGGTCTAAACCGGCCCACCTCGAACACAGTGGTGATCTTTGTCATGGGTTTGGCAGCCAGCTCCTTCAGTTTCCGGGCATCGAAGCGTGGCTTATGTAGAAGGATGGGTAAGCGGCGGGGAAGGAAGAAGCTTCCTCCCTTCCGCAGCTTCTTCTCTTCTTCTTGCTGCTTCCTCTCTTTGTTGACTGTCATCTGGTATAAAATAGCATCCCACATTCTTATGGCCCTTGATTTAAACAGCCTGTGGTCTTGACTGATGATTGCTTGAGAGCTGTCCTTCTCCTTGCTCCCTTCCTCCTGTCCCAGCATTTCTGGCTCAGGCTCTGGGAAGCTGGGTGCTTCTGGCTGCACCATCAAGTGCTTCCTGAGGCGATGCCAGCCACCAGCATTGGTTCCCGGAGGTCTTGCTGCTTCTACTGATGGTAGTGCTGGCTCAGCTTTGAGGGGAGGGCTGGTGTTTGGTAAGCTGGGGGTCAAATGAGGTTGAATGACATGTTCTGCCTTGGTGTCTGTGGAGGTGGCCCCTGTACTGTCAGCTTGTACTGGGGTTGCTGTCTCTGGGTGCGCTTGCCTCCCAGGAGCGCTGGGCGTTGATGGTTTTAGGATGTCGTCATCTTGCTTGGCTAATTCAGGAGCTCTTTCTGATCCAGGTATTTCTGTGTCACTTCCATGGGTTGTAGGCTTATTGGCGTGGGCATCGGATGTGCTGGGCTTGGGTGAAGGGGCTTTGATGGACTCTTCAGTAGGAGCAGGCTTGGGCTCCTTAGGAGGCTCTGCCTCTGCAGCAGAAAGGAGGGGAGGCTCCAGTGTGGGAGCTGTGGCCTTGCTGTCATCAAGCGGGATGGGTATCTGCCCTGGAGACAGTTCAGAGCAACTTGTTTCAGCAGCTGCTGAAGGTAGCCTTTTGTCTTCATGGCTGATGGTTGCTTGGGTCTGATTTGATGTGGGCGTCTTAGCCCTGGGTGGCTTGACACTGTGGAAATAAGCGTGCACCTCGGTGACATAGGTAAGCTCGAGTGGCCTTTCTTTACTGGGTGTACTAGAAGGAGGAGGCTGGGGTAAAACAAATATGGAAGGGTCGCCTGGAGAGGGAAGGTGGGTGTCCGTGCCTTCAGGCTGCTGTGGAGTCACAGGAGCAGCTGGCTTTTGTAGCATGGGCATGGCCGATGAGGTCGTGAGCCTGAGGTGTTCAGCAATGCGCCTCTGCTCGGTGACCTTCAATGTGAAAGGCTTGCTCTTTCGGAAAGGGGAGGGGACACGGTGGGTGATGGGCTTGACAGAGAGGTGGGTGGGGAGGCTGGCAGAGGGGTGTGCTGCAGTTTTGGGGATCTCTGCTGGGGGAGCGCTTTCATTGTTCTCTAGGTCAGGGCTGGCCTCGTTCACGGGTGAGAGGCTGGACCGAAAGGACTTGGCTTGCTCCGAAGCTAGGATGGCGTTTTTCTTGGCTGCCTTCTTCAGCAGCTTCTGGAGCCGCAAGTTGTCCTTCCCAGGCTTTGGTAGGGTGGGAGGGGGAGAAAGGTGGTGGTGGATAGGAGCAGGCTGGATGGAGGATGATACTGTTATCAGCATTGTCATCTCCTGGAAGAAAACACAGAGCTTAGAGTTGGCATGGGCTTAGCCCTGGGCTAAACTCTGAAGTATTCATACATAAGGCCTCCTCTTCCTCTCTCCAAAAGCTATGAGTATGGAGTCAGTATTGTGGGAGAAGAATGTCAGTCTTGGTTTCCTTAGTCTCCCAAGGTTGCCTCAGCCAGTCTTGAGGGTGGTGTGGCAGGGCAAGAGGAAGGAAGCTGTACTGCCAAACCTGGAGGCCTCCTGCTCCTGGTGTTAGTGCAAAATCCAGTCAGAGCTTCTTGGGACCCCAGATGTTTGTGTCTTGGCAAGTCCTAACAGGATTTGGAAGGAAATGTCAAGAGAAACAGAGCAGGTCTGAAATTTCGAAGCTTTGAAACATTCTCCAGAGGCACAAATCAGGAATGTTTCATGGCTTTCCAAATTCCAGTTATTAATACTCTGATACAATGTTATGTACAACAGAACAGCCATAAACTACATGTGTCATTTGAGTCAAAGTCAACACTGGCCTTGATTGATTTCAGATGGCAGAAAGACATCCCCATGAAACGCAGGACTTAAAAGCTGTGTTAATCTGATGAGAAAGTGCTTTGCCACAACACTAACTCTGACTGGTGTTTCTTTGTTGTGTCAAGCACAGCAGCAACCTTCTCTTTCTGCACTCGATTTAAGATAAAACCTAGTTTTCTC